AATTCTGAAAAAGAATTTTATATTCGAAAAAAATACACAAAATTAATATTGTTTAATCATGACTAATGTAAAAGTATTCTTAACAAATATCATTTTTAAAAAGTGTTGTGGTCATCAGCACAATCTTTATTTTATCTTTTTCTTATAATTCACGTTCAATTTGATCTGATCTATTATGTACGTCCTTTTATGTATTTACTTCTGCACAGTCGTTTTTTTTTTCTGAAAAAGAAGATTATTGATAAAAAAATACTTAAAGAATCTTTTAATTTATTAGTTTAAAAAAATACTTATTTTCATGAAAATGTGAAACAATATGTATGTCAAAATATGCGAATAAACATTCAAGCACATTTTTCTTTTTCACGTTATTTCTGTCTCACTTTCCAATGCTTTGTCTCGCTCGCACTCACTTGGTAGATGCGCCTGCGCATAATGACGCTCGACCATCTATGCCCATACTTGGACTTCGTGCGTCTCTCTTTCTCAGGCCTCGTGCCTCTCATTGCGAAGATACGCATATATGTAATACTCCTATATTGCTAGTACGGTGCCGACCTGAAGCTCACCGTTACGGTGCAGACAATATAGTAGCCTCTCTCTCCAGCTGCTTTGTGCGCATGCGGTGAACATAATGACGCTCGACTATCTATGCCCATATTTGGACTTCGTGCGTCTCCCTTTCTCGGGCCTCGTGCCTCTCATTGCGAAGATACGCGACTAGCAATATAGGAGTATTACATATATGGTGTCGCCTGTGTACGTAGTTGGAAAGCACCCACTAATGGACATTGTATTACACAGTGCCGCCTGTGCACGTAACTGGAAAGCCCCCTATATCAGTGTGTCTCACTAGTGGACACTGGCTTAGTTTACATCGTCAAAACTTGAGGCTGTGTCCAGTTAAGCAAAGTGGAACAAACAAAAGAAAAAATGCAGGAAACGCAGGAAATGGAACTAATGAAATTAATGGAACTAATGAAAGAAGTTAAGAAAGTGAAAAAAAAGAAGGTTGGCTCCCCTGATCTGGTGCGGAACATGTGTAGTGGCAAAATTGGAATCGAAACAATTTGTTAAGTTTCCATTCCGAAGAAAGTCCAAAAGGAAACGAGAGAAGGCGGCGCATACGGATTATAATTTAAAAAAAAAAATTGGAATTTATAGAATCGAACAAGAAAGCGCTAATTGTGACAGAAGATGGTGCGGTCTANAAAGTAACTTGTGAAAGTGACGAGGAAAAGAGACAATTATATAGACATAGGTTAGTCAGGGACATTAGAAAATTGCGCACAACTGCTTCTGTTGTTGTGTGCTGGCTCATCTGGCTCTGCATATTCTTTTTTTCTTCTTTTAAAATCGAGTTCTTTTTTCGCATCAGTGTTTTCTGCTGTTCACTTACTTGCAAAACAATTAGTATGGGAAATAATGACCGTCGTATCGTTAGTTACCATCGTTAGACCGCACCATCTTTTGTCACAATTAGCGCTTCCTTGTTCGATTCTATAAATTCCAATTTTTCTTTTTTTTTTTTTTCAATTATAATCCGTATGCGCCGCCTTCTCTTGTTTCCTTTTTCACTTTCTTCGGAATGGAAACTTAAAGAATTGTTTCGGTTCCAATTTTGCCACTACACATGTTCCGCCACAGATTAGGGGAGCCAACCTTCCTTTTTTTTCACTTTCTTCACTTTTTTCATTAGTTTCATTAGTTCCATTTCCTGCGTTTCCTGCATTTTTTTCTTTCGTTCGTTCCACTTTGCTTAACTGGATACAGCCTAGCTGCGTTCCGTTTCATGCATATGCGCGCATTTATCTATACTATACGTAACGTGTACTATACATAAATGCGCGCATATGCGTAAAACGGAACGCAGCCCCTGATACGCGTATTAAGTTTGGTGCGTACCAAAGCCTTTAGTACGAGTNTCGGATAAACGATTTCTTCGAGGTACGCTTATTTGTTATCCTGTACTGAAAAGTCACATTCAGAGTGCGTACTCATTATCTTAGATAATTTACAAAAGATACTACTTTTCTTATCTGAGATACAGATAAAGATGTCATATATTTTAATTATTTAGATAAGGATAAAATAAAACAATTATCACATCTAGATGAACATCTAGATAATTTTATCTAGATAACGGAAAACACTGCTCTTTGTCGATCCTCCTTGCGGTCGCAGGGCCTCTCCATGAGTATAAGCTCTATGGTGGAAACTAAACCAGTGTAACACAGTGTCGACTTGTAGTTGGAACGCTTTTTAGCTTTTAGTTTTCATCGTCAGAGTGCGGAACAATCACTTTACATAAGCCATTTAAGTTTTCCGGTATATATGCGTGATGAATATGGTATATTTTAAACTATCGCTAAAAAATAGCCAAAATGTGTAACCATCGTTGCGGAAGTATCGATTCTCAGTCTTTTTCTCAATAGACAACATAATTTTTAGATTTCTTAGCATATATTTTTGCTATAACAATTCTTTTATCTACATTATATTATATATTATTATATATATTATTATTATATATTAAAAAAACTAAATTATGATACATTAAATTCCATTCATAGAATAAATCATATACATAATACATGCACAAATTACAAATTTTATATCAGATTTTATTTCAGTTTTAATTTATAGAAGTTGAAATTAGATTAGAAAATGGCTTTTATACTGAATAAATTATACTGATGTGTAAATAAATAAATTTACATTTGTCAGTAACATCCACATTGTCGTTTGTAAATAAAACATTGTTACTATCCATATATATATTTTTGTTTGTGAAACATTCATATAAGGGTGCTGTGTCTAATATTGCAATATATGCATTGCAATGTTTACATGTAAAACCATCTGCTTCAATAATTAGGTAATAAAATTATTATTTAAGTATTAGTAAAATTGATATTTTTTAATTGCATACTGAAATATAAATATATTGCAGAATTGTAGAAGATTAATATTTTAAGGATATCAAGTGACACGAGATCAATTAAAACACGAGAGAATAGTTATGTTAATACTTATTATTACATTTTTATAACAAATAATAAAATAATTTAAAAAATATGTATTACATACTTTCCATGATTAATACTGTTCCGAATATAATTTGAAAGCACAGTAGTAAACAGAAATAAACGGAAAAAAGTTGGTATCCATGGAGTGACACAGTTGAACCATAGACTTATATAATAGACGGAACATTCATTCATGTAAGAGAAGCTGAAGCTTCGTTAAAAGAAACAGAAATAGTCGTGGAGTAGTTCTCTTCTTTTCTAGCAGTGAGTTAATTGATGGCCGCGGCAGGCCGAGGGAGTGGCCAAGAGCAACAAAGATAGAGTTCGAGAGTCAGTTGAGACCATATATATAATACTTCTTTATTGCTAGTCGCGTATCTTCGCAATGGGTGTGTTTAGCCGAAGCTAGCGCTACGTAGCGCTACGTAGCGGCTTCATGTAGCAGTTGCAATTGCTGCGTAACTTCTGCTGGACAGTATGGCTACGCGTAGCATGTTCTAAGTAGTGGCCGCCATTTACNTTTTTTTTTTTTTCAATTATAATCCGTATGCGCCGCCTTCTCTTGTTTCCTTTTTCACTTTCTTCGGAATGGAAACTTAAAGAATTGTTTCGGTTCCAATTTTGCCACTACACATGTTCCGCCACAGATTAGGGGAGCCAACCTTCCTTTTTTTTCACTTTCTTCACTTTTTTCATTAGTTTCATTAGTTCCATTTCCTGCGTTTCCTGCATTTTTTTCTTTCGTTCGTTCCACTTTGCTTAACTGGATACAGCCTAGCTGCGTTCCGTTTCATGCATATGCGCGCATTTATCTATACTATACGTAACGTGTACTATACATAAATGCGCGCATATGCGTAAAACGGAACGCAGCCCCTGATACGCGTATTAAGTTTGGTGCGTACCAAAGCCTTTAGTACGAGTGCGTTTACATCAAACATACTAAAAGAAAAAAGAATACGAATATAATTTATGTCGATTGCCTCCTAGCAGTGATAGGCTGCTTTCCTTTTAAGAGACACAGTCGACACAAGTCGACACAAAAGTCATTCTGTCTTCGTTCAGTATTCAGTGAGAAACAAAGACAGAATGACTTTTGTGTCGACTTGTGTCGACTGTGTCTCCTAAAAGGAAAGCAGCCATAGTTGGAGTTAATGTGCTTGAGTTTCTTGTTGCAGATCATGTTTCAATAAAAAACGTGTATAATGTAGAGTGTATAATTTATTTGAAAAAGGATGAATAATAACAGTGTACAAAAATATATAGCTTGAGCCGTTTTAAAAAAGCCTCTTTTCTCCATATCTTCAACTAATAAATTAAAAATATCTATAGGTTTGTTTTTTTCCGTCCATTAAAACAACAATTTGCTTTTCCAGGCATAATTCCAAAAATGTCTTTGTTTCATCTTCTCCTCAATTCATATCTTTTCTGCAAGACATTTTGATTAGAGAGATTAAAAGATTATAAGTTTATAATCTTAACCTATATCTTTTAATCAACTTATAACTTTAAAATACGTTTCATGCGTTTACATCGTTATTTGTATCACTTGATACGCGTATCAGTTTAGTACGATACTCCTGTTTGATACGCTCGTATCAAGTTGATCCGACAACGTTTACATCGTGCGTACTAAAATATTTAGTACGAATATAGTACTTGATACGCGTATCAATTGCATGATGTAAACTAAGCCACTGTGTAACAGTGTCCATTAGTTTGAGAAAGAGCATATCAGTGTGTCTCACTCACACTAGTGAACACAGTGTTACACAGTGGTCTAGTTTCCACCGAAACCCTCAACTTCGGTACAGGGTACCGATTGTGTATTTATGCGAAGTAGTGAAAATTACAAAAGTGAGAAAATTTACTAAAATATCTGTGATTTTATTAGTCGACAACTAGTAAACTTTCTCACTTTTGTAATTTTCACTACTTCGCATAAATACACAATCGGTACCCAGATCAAATTTAGTGTTCCGTTTCCATTGGAAGTAGAGTACTTATAGATCAAAGCGGAAGCGAAATCAGCGCAATTTGACAGGTTTCCATCGACTTAAATTTGATTCTACGTCGCATTAGATGTGAATTAATGCTTCGGTGGAAACTAGACCAGTGTCGCCTGTGTACGTAGTTAGAAAGCACCCCCTATTTGGCTAATATTACATTTGTCGTATGACAAATATAATATTAGCCTTTTGCCTGCTTTTTTTCCCCTAGTAAAATTCTCTTCTCAAATTGAACGCACAGATCGAAGCAGAAGTGAAATGAAAGCAATGGTCTAGTTTCCACCGAAATCCTCAATTCGGTTCCATTCCGGTACAGATCAAATTTAGTGTTCCGTTTCCATTGGAAGTAGAATAGAAGCAGAGAGAAACCTGAGAGCGGCCATCCTAATGTAAATTTTTACGACGGTTTCAGCCGCTGGTTTTAGCCGTATTTCC